GACGCAAATCAGACCAGAGGAGAAACAGGTTTTGGAACAGGCACGTGGGAGACTTCACTAGCACCTTCTCTTGAGCTCTTTAAGGGGATATACAGATCTCTCCTAGAAGAGCTACACTCGCTGAAAATCAGAGTGGGTTTGGGTTTAACTCTGAGGTCAACCCGCAAGGTGAACCCTCTGGAGGCCCTCTGGCTTAAAACAACCTTCTGGAAGGGAGATGAGCCAGAAGGAAAAAGGGTAGGGATTGGAGGAAGCTTGCGGTCCCTCTAGTGGACAGTTGTGGAATTGCACTCAGAAATTCACTCCGTGTTTGCTCGGGCTCACATCCCTCACCTTACAGAAAATTACCTCCCAGCACAAAAAGGAACCCCTGTCTTCCTAAACCCAGGAAGGTCAGTCCACCTGCAAGGTTCAAGCTACTCAATTTTCTTAGAGATAATATGGTCATAAACTAGGCAAGTACTATAAATATGATAAAGTTTATCTTCAAAAGGCAAGAACACCAAATATCTGGTTTATCTAAATTTGAGATATTTATACTTAGGACATGACGTACTCACTGCTCTTCAGAAATTTGACATATATGGTGTTAGGGTTTTTTCAGGTTTATCTTACCCCTGTTTGGGAAGGAAAAAATCTCCAGGGGTTCACAATCTTTTGAAATTATCACCCACTGAAATTCCTTTAAAAAAAAAAAAGAACCCTCATAATTTCATTTAAAGAGTTCCTATCTGAGAATAATCTCCAAGACATAGTAAATGTAAAAATCAAAATGATGTGTAGTAGTCTACTGTTTGTGCTAACGAATAAAACAGAGTACTTTGACATGTTTGCGGGCCAGCTGTTCGCTCGAAGGCCCTCGGGACCCCAGCTGGAGCAGCTGTTTACTGGGGCATCTGGGGTGGGAGGGAGCTTGACCTCTGTGTGACGCCCAGAACTTTATTGGAAGACACACACACACACACACACACACACACACGTAGTGAGGCTGGTTGTTCTCCCCCAGCTTTACCGAGCTGTAGCTCACGTGTAACATTGTTTAAGCCAAGGTGTGCATTGGGGTGATTTGATCCACTTACACATTATGAAGTAATCGCCACCATACTATTGGCTCATACCTCCATCACATCATACAAGTAGTGTTTCTTTACTGTGTCGAGAACATTTAAGATCCACTCTCTCAGCCACTCCCAAGTACGTGACACAGAACTGTTGACTGTACTCACCGTGCTGAACATTAGGCCTTCAAGAAGTGACTGGAAGTTTGTGCCTCTGGATCCCCAGCCCCCTCTCCCCGCCCCCGCAGCCCGCTTGCAGCCCCTGACAGCCTTCCTTCTACCCTTTCTATACGTGCAGCTTGTTTAGGTTCCTCGTGTAAGTGACGTCATGCAATATTCGTCTTTCCCTGATTCTCTCACTTGGCATAACGCCCTCCGGCTCGTCCATGTTGTCCCCAGGGGCAGGATGACCTTCTTTCTCGTGGCTGAGTTGTATTTCTTCGGAGGTGCACGGACCGCATCTTCTTTAGCCACGCATCCGTTGATGGAGACTTTGATTGTTCCCGCGTCTTAGCTGTTGTGGGCAGTGCTGCCGTGGACACGGCAGTGCCAATACCTATTCGATGTCCTGTTTTCACTCCTTTGAATATAGACCCAGAAGAGGAAATGCTGGATCGCATGGTAGTTCTATTTTTAACTTTGAGAGGAGGTTCCATCATTTTTTTTTAAAGATTTTATTTATTTTTAGAAGAGAGGTGAAGGGAAGAAGAAAGACAGGGAAACACCAATGTGTGGTTGCCTCTCATGCGCCCCCTACTGGGGACCTGGCCTGCAACCCAGGCATGCGTCCTAAACTAGGAATTGAACCAGCGACCCTTGGGTTTGAGGCCAGCGTTCAATCCACTGAGTCACACCAGCCAGGGCCATAGTTTTTTCCCCATACTTAATGTACCTATTTACATTCCCACCAACAGTGTACAGGGGCTTTCTTTTCTCCACATCCTCACCAACACTTACCTCTTGTCTGCTAATAGCCATTCTAAGCAGTAGTATCTCGTGATCCTCGTTTTCACTTACCTCGTTAGTGATGTGGAGCATCTTTATATGTACATGTTGGCCATTTTTATGTCCTCTTTGGGGAAAAGTGTATTCGGTTCTTCTGCCCATTTGATTATTTTTTTGTGTATTGAAGTTTACTTCCTTATATATTTTGGATGTTAACTCCTTATCAGGTATGACTTGTAAATATTTTCTCCCATTCCATAGGTCATCCTTTTGTTGTTGTTGGGTGTGTATGTGTTTTTGTTTGGTTGTTTTCTGTGCAGAAGCTTTTTAGTTTGATGTCATCCCACTTATTTTTGCTTTGGTTGCTTGTACTATTGGTGATATATCAAAAAATTGTTCTCAAGACCAATGTTGAGAAACTTTCCCTCTGTTTTTTTTTTTTCTAGGAGGTTCATGGTTTCAAGGCTTATGTTTGTCTTTAATCTGAGTTAATTTTTGTGGTGCAAGTGTCTAATTTTATTCTGCATGTGAATATCCAGTTTTCCCACCACCAAGTACTTAAACAACTATTCATACTGCACTGGGTGTTCTGGGCTTTCCATTCTGTTCCATTGGTCTGTGTGTGTGTTTTTATGCCGGCACCATACTGTCTTTATTACTATGGCTTTGCAGTATAGTTTGAACTCAGGCACTGTGATGCCTCCAGCATTTTGTGCTCAGAATTGCTTTGGCCATTTGGATTTTTTTGTGGTTTTTATATGAATTTTAGGATTTTTTTTTATGTCTGTAAAAATGTCACTAGAATTTTGATTGGGATTGCATTGAATTTATAATGACTCTGCGTGGTATGGGCATTTTAACAATATTAATTCTCATGATCCACGAATACTGGGCTGTCTTTCCATTTATTTGTTTCTTCAGTTATTTTTCATATAAGTCTTATAGTTTCAGGTATACAGATCTCCTTGGTTAGAGCTCTTCCCAAGAATTTGTTTCTTTTTAAACGTATTGAATTTATTGGGATGATACCAGTTAGTAAAATTATGTAAGTTTCAGGTGTACAGCACTGTAATACATCATCTGCATGTTGTACTGTGTGTTCACCACCCAAGGTCAAGTCTCCATCCATCACCACATACCCCCTTCATCCTCTTCTACCTCCCCCACCCCCTTCACTCTGGTGATCCCCGTACCATTGTCTGTGTCTGTGAGATTTTTCTTTCTTAATCCCTTCACCTATTGTCACCCAGCTCCCCAGCCCCCCTCCCAGAATCTGGTTTTGGTGATACTGTGCACGTGATTTTCTTTTTCAGATATTTCATTATTACCGTATAGAGATGAACTGATTTTTCTATGTTGATTTTGTATCCTACAACTTAACTGAATTTGTTGATGAGTTCTAACAGCTTTTGGGTGGAGTCTGTAGATTTTTCTCCTTATAAGAACATATCACCTGCAAGTAAAGACAAGTTTACTTCTTCATTTCCAATTTAGATGCTTCTTTTTCTCATCTGGTGACCCTGGCTGGGGCTCCCAGAACAGCACTGAATGGGGGTGACGAGAGTGGACACCCTTGTCTTGTCCCTGACCTAAGAGGATAAACTCTCAGCCTGTAATTGTCGACTGCGGCATTGGCCATGGCCTTCTCCTATATGGTCTTCGTTATGCTGAGGTTCACTCTTTCTAGACCCCATCTTCTGAGAATTTTTATCACGAAGGGGAAGATGCGAAAGTGTCACTGCTGGTGGGGGGCGGCCCGACCAGGGGCACCTAAGGCAGCCGTGTTGCCGGCATCACCTCGGAGGGTGTGGTCTTCAGCGAGGAGGGCTGGGTGGCGGGAGACAAGTGGGTGTCCAGTCCTCTCTCGTCAGTTTTCAGATTTCTGCTCGTTCTTTGCTCTGTCCTCGTTTCCTCAGACGCAATTCCTTTCAGTTCCAAAGGCTAGCAGTTCAAGATCAAGGTGTTGGCAGGTTTAATTCTTGCCCTGGGCTGTACGGAAGGGTCTCTTCCCGGCCTCTCCCCTCAGTTTGCATCGGATGGCTGCCCTCCTGCTTCCTCTTCCCGTGGCCTTTGCGCTGCGCACCCAGCATCCCCCCTGTCCTCAAAGCTCTTCCCCGGCCAGCGGGCAAACACTGGTATGTCACACCCTGGCGTTAGTCTCAAGTCCCGAATCCCTTTAGCTACTGAAATCGGTCAACAAGAAAATGGATGAAATCATAGCCAGCTGATGAGGCTTTCACATGGGCAGTGAAGGTCTGAGTTCAAAGACCAAGAGGCTTAAGGATAACGCATTGGCTCCTGGGAGCACCCACGTGCTGCTGGAGACCCCGGGGGACCCCCGCCACGCGTTGGCCGGCCCGAGCAGCTGCATCCACCGTCCAGCCCTTCCCCCGGGACGCAGCTGCCTGGCGCTGAAACACAAGCCTTGCGAAGAGTGGTAGTAAAATGCTGTGAACACTCACCACGTGGCACCCGTCTCTCTCTCTGAGCTGCACACATGCGAGCAGGCCCACTTCCTCCGGTGTGGGTGGTCCTTTTTCGGTACGGGGACCGGCCCCGCTGAGACCTGGTCTGGCCACTCTTCCTCGCGGGACTGCGAGCAGCCCCTGCCGTCCTCCTGGGAGGACTGGCGCTCGGCACAGACCCCGCGCGGCAGGTTCTGCACAAAGGTTTGCCCAGGGAACGGGGGAGCCAATTAAGGCCAAATAATCCCTCTGCTTTTCCCCTCCTCCCGACCCCTCACGAGAGCACAGGGTGAACTAGCCGGGGAGAGGTGGGGCGTGGCGAAGGCGATCCTTCTCTGTGAATGAATAAGGATAAACGTGAGCGATGGATGGTCCTTCCAGGAATAACCACACAGAAACCCGGAAATACCACAACGAAAATATAATTAGGTTTCCAAAGAACGGAAGTGCGCATGCACATAAATAGCCACATACTTCATTTAAGAACCTCGGTGCTATTTGTTTCTATTACATCTGGACACAAAATGCGCAGAGATTTACAAAACCAACCATACAAATTTCAAACACTTTTACAAAGATGAAAATATAAAGAAATGAAGACTATGGAATTTTGTTTGCAAACAATTTTACTTTGAATCCTGTCTTGTGTGAAAACCAAACAGCTCATCAGAATTTGTTTGATGCAACCATGTTAGAATTTCAGTAGGCAAAATGGATGAAATCCCAATCATCAATCATCTAGAGCAAATAACTATTATAATGAAAACTAATGTGATCTTCAATTATTCCCCTAAATACTGCTGTTACAATTTTCTATGTATTAAAACTTTTATTTACGGAATGAATCTGACATTACAATGCTATTTCAGGAAAGAGAATAAACCTTAATAAAATCTTTAATCCCAACTTTTAAAGCTTAGCTTTTCTGCTAATCTCAAACTACTTTTTGGTTCATTGCTAACTCTTAAAATGTCTTAAGACAATCGATGTGATTTAAAGTCATCTTTTGTCTGAACAGTGCTCATGTCTTTTTGATTGTATATACTGAGGCAGTAAGGCAAGAAAGTTTTTCCTTTTCCAAATCAGGTAAAGAGAGAATATCTAGCCATTTTAAAAATTCAGAACTAGAGTCACGGCAAATAATCCCACCAGCAGGGAGTTAAGGCTGCTGTGATTTTCCTTGTCGTTTGGACCAGAATGTAGAAGTAGCAGTGTGATTGCCTACAGATGCTGGATTTACAAGCCTTTGAGCTGAACTCTCAGGACAGAAACATTGTCACTTCTGTCTGTACTTCAATTTCAGTTAATAAGACACAGTTTTTTCACAATCACCTTTGATAAGCTTGGAGGTGAAGTGAGAAAACACTACAGGAAGCGGGAACTGGATGGTTCCGATACAAGAAAACAGCGCCTGAGGGGTCAGGGGTCTGGTGAGAGTCGGCCCACTGCGCCCGCAGCCTCCCGAGACGCGCAGGCCACGCCCAGGCACACGGCGCCGGCCGGCCGGCGGGGGCACCCTCCCCGCTGCCTGGAGCCTGGCCCGCCCGCAGCGCCCCAGACCGGATGCTGGCTCTGCAGGAACCGCCTGGCACCGGTCAGCGTGCGTCCTGTCCGCTGCAGCGTTCTCCTGGAAAGCAAGCCCTTCCGGATGCGTGAACGAGAAAAATCTCATAACCTAGCCTGCAAACGATTTCCTGAAGTCCTCTCCTAGCACGAATGTGGACCCGGCTTTGCAGTTACATCTGTATTAGCACCATATTTAAGCCTGGTTTGAGGCAAAGATAAACTTTCAGGTAGCTCTGGGTAGAAAGTACAGTGGCGATTTTGTGTGGGTGGGTTTTTTTTTTTTGGTGGGGGGGTCTTTATTCTTCAATTTTATTTGTTAATTTTGAATGCGGTATCTACAGCAGTATTCTTTCTGATCATTAAAATAAGTTGTTTGAAGAACCATTTGATCCCAAGTATATATATGCAAGTATATGTGAAAATTGACAAATTATAAAGCCAGGTGAGTAAGCGTTTAACAGGAGAACTGTAGCAAATAGGAACTCTCATTTTTGAAATTCAAACTATGTCATTATTGGGTTGACGACGTCAAACATTTCAGTGAAATACGCGGAGCCAATATCACAAGGCTGGCTCATCACACGGCAACGCCCTGGAACTGCATCGGTCAGGGCATGGTCAAGGTTACTGCAGGTGCTACCCGGCCAACGTCCGGCTCCTCCTACAGGAAGTCGAGTAGTCTGTCCCGTGTTTGCTCCGTTGAGTGAAAGGTGAGTTGCTTCTCTCTTCCCCAACTGTTTTAATTTATGCAGATAAACCTCTCTGGAACTTGTACTTGTCATTTGTACAAAGGAACAGAGAGGGAAAGACCCTAAAACCTGGTTAACACTTTGAAGGGGTACACCTGTTTCAGCGAATGAAAACAGAGATCAGTTAGGGGATAACTGGACAAAATGAGATGACTCTCTGATGTAGTTCCCAGGAGCGGGTGCGGTGAGATCACGCGTGAAGAACTGGTGAAAACGTGTCAAATTGTTCCCCTGCCAACACCACTTTACACATGAGACATAAGAAACCTTAGACACGGCTAGCTCTGAGGGCAACACAACTCGTTTTTCAGAGGACGGTCATTACCTCGGTGTGCTGGACGCCCGCCCTGGGAGCTGCCCGCCCTGGGGCTCGGCCTTCAGCCTCCCGCCGCAGCGGCCTCGATGGTGCCCGGCACAGGCCGGGCGCTCAGTGCGCCCGCGGTTCTTCGGAAACACTCATCGGGAGTATTTCCCTCTGACTCTGGGCGACGTTCCCTCGTGGAAACATTTTTGGGAAACGGTTTAAGGTTTGCACTTCACCTAAAGGTTCAGTGGAATCCTGCTGATCGGTCTCCAGAAAACTCGCGTGAACAGTCTCTCTCCCTTGGCGAGCCCGCTGGTGCGCGGGGCGCTGCTGCCTGGGCACCCACACGGAGTCCGGCGCGGCTGCGTCTGCAAGGGTGCCGGTCAGCAGATGAGCTCCCTCAGCTCCTGGTCGGTCAGCTCGTTCACCTCCATGATCTTCTCCAGGTGCTCCCTGTAGCGGCCCTGGTCCTGCAGGAAGTGAGGCACCCGCATGTTTTCGGTGACCGCCAGTTCTTTCAGGCGGTCCACATCCTCGTAGGAGACCTGTGGAACGGCGGGGGCTGGCTCAGTTTTGGGTGTGACCGTCAGTCATATTTGACAGAGCAACTTCTTCCCTGGGTAGTGAGGGAAACTCTAAGTATGCGGGCTGTTTTTCGGATTACTTGAATACCCACAAAATAACAAAAATAAGTGACTTTGTTCTCTTTACTGCGTTAAATAAAAATGTACTTATCTGCTCCTTTGTACTATGACCATATTTTAAAAAAAGATCAAAAGTCAATATTTGATTTCTTGGACCTACTCAGTTTGTCTAAAAATGATACAACTACACTTAATGTACATGTCAGAGACTCTAAACCTTGACAAATCTCTGACTAAACCACATGAAAGAGTCAAGAAAATAGCTCAATATAAATATCACATTAATAAACTAGAAAAATCAGGCCAATTATGTATTGGATTCCTATTTCTATTTAATTTAAAAAATATAATGATTTGTTTTGTGTTAAATTCTCTTGCTTTTAGTTTGAATTTTTGTAAGTATTTAAAAAAATTGCTATCTCACCCTGGCTGGCGTAGCTCAGTGGATTGAGCGTGGGCTGCGAACCAAAGTGTCACAGGTTTGATTCCCAGTCAGGGTACATGCCTGGGTTGCAGGCCATGGCCCTCAGCAACTGCACATTGATGTTTCTCTCTCTCTCTTTCTCTCTCCCTCCCCTCTCTAAAAAAATAAATAAATAAATAAAATCTTTAAAAAAAATTTAAAAAATTGCTATCTCTTTCATTTGCTTGTGTAAGAACTCAACTTGGACAAGTATTTATAAGACATTTAGGGGTGAGACTTTTTAAGTTCTATAAATTATCTTTGTAACTTTAAGTTCTGAAACATGGCTGACTTTATGTTTTTTTAAGAGTTTATTTACTTTTAGAGATTGGGGAGGGAGGGGGAAAGGGAGGGAGGGAGAGCGAGCGAGCGAGAAACATCAGTGTGTGCGAGTTACATTGACTGGTTGCCTTGCTCCCAACTGGAGACATGGCCTGCAACCCAGGCACGTGCCCTGACCGGGAACCGAACCGGTGACCTTTCCATTTGCAGGCTGGGGTTCAATCCACTGAGCCACACCAGCCAGGGCATGGCTGACTTTAAACACTATTGTTTTCTGATCAATATTCTTCCTGGTTCAGCAGAAAGAGTTTAAGTACAAGAAATCATGTTTACATGATACCTGTATTTTACTAAGTGAGTTAGTTGTTATTAAGATTATTTATTTTACTGAGTATTTACACAACTCAGTGTAATGCAAACAGGTTTGTTGCTGCCAATGGCGTGGTTAGTGCCTCCTTGACCACCATCGTCATCGTCTGTCACAGGCGAGAGGGAGCCAACAGAGCGACGCGCTGGCAGAGCGCGGAGACGCACGTGGGGAGCGGGACGGAGGGGCGAGAGGGCCCTGGTGACGGGAACCCAAGTGCCCCCCTGATCGGCGCACATGCAGTTTGCTCTCCCCCCGCCACCCCGCCCCCCCCCGGGGGGAGGTCTGGAAGCATCAGCGCCCAGGAACCACGAGCACGCCTCGAGCCCACACCTCGTTTTCCCAACGCCGTCTCCCGCTAAAAGGATTCGAGGCTTCCTAGAAGGAGGATCTAGTCTCAGGGCTGGGTAGGAAAAGTATCAGACGAGCTTGGAACATTTTATAGTTTTTCTAAAACACAGGGGAAGCCACTGGAAGAGTTCAGCAAAAAAAAAAAAAGAGGAAGTACATAATAATGCACAAAGCAAGGGGAGGGAAATGTAACAGAACTCGAAGACCTCTACTTTGCCTCCGCCAGCGTGGGAAACGACTTGCGCCAGGACCGTCGGTGGATCTTAAAACCATTCCTTGAAAGGTTAAAGAAACATTCATGGGCACCACCCCGCGGGTGACTCAGTAATTCCATCAGGGGCAGGGCCGTTGCAGTGCAGCGGCCTGGCAGTGGTAACCAAATCGCCCAGGCGGTCGCACTCGGCATCACCAGTGACGACGACCAGGCGCAGCGACATCGCGTGCTCTCTGACGGGATGCGGTGGGGGATGCCCATCTCCCTCACACCGGGGTCTTGGCCAAATGCTTAACCTGGCTCTGACCACAGGGAAACAATCTGATATCCAGTTTGTGGAAATGTTCAGGAAAACTGTCCTGGATTCTTAAAAATGTCCTGAAAAATAAACAGACTAGGGCAAGGGGCCCGTTATAGACTCAGAGCAATTAAGCACCTGAAGACCTGAAACAGGAAAATACACGGAAGAAAACAAAGGCACTAACTTAGGGACCTTGCTCTCTTGGGGGGGGGGGTGCAAACTCTCCCAAAGGCAAGGGAAATGAAGGCGAAAACAAATGAATGGGACTGCCTCAAACTGAAGTCATCTGCGCAGCAAGGGAAACCATCAGCGGAACAAAAAGGCAACCAACCGAAGAGGAGAAGGTATTTGCAAACAAGACCTCCAGTAAGGAGCTAATACCCAAAATTATACACAAAGAACTCATAAAATTGAACAACAAAACAGCAAAGAATCCGATCACAAAATGGGCACAGGAACGGAATGGACACTTCCCCAAGGAAGACGTGCAGATGGCCAGCAGATGTATGAGGAGGCGCCCAGCCTCACCACCTGCAAGGGAAAAGCAGATCCAAGCCACAGGGAGATAGCGCCTCCCACCGGTCAGAAGGGCTGCTGTCCATGAGACGAGCAACAGGGCCTGCAGGGGGCGGTGTGGACCAGAGGGAGCCCTCGCACACTGCGGGTGGGGGCGTGACCCAGAATTGTGGGGGCTCCTCAAGATTTAAATTGTGGAGCAGTGTGGGGGCTCCTCAAGAATTAAGAACAGAACTACCAGGGGACCCAGCCATCCCTCTTTTGAGTACCTACACCCCAAATTTGAAAGCACTTACGGAAATGTGTGTAGCTCTACGTGCACTGCAGCCAAGACATGGAAACACCCTGTATTTGCTCTGAGGGGCGACCGGAGAGAGAGGAGGGGGCACATATATAGGACGGGATACGCTCAGCCGTAGAAAAAGATGGAATATTGCCGTTTGCAACCACACGGTGGGGGGGTCTGGGGAGTACGACACTAAGTGAAGTCGGTCAGACGGAGAAGGATGAGAACCGTGAGGTTTCCCGGCAAGTGGGACATGAACAAACGAGCAAACCAAACCAACTCCCGACACAGACAGCAGTGGGGCGGTGACCGGGCAGGAAGGGGTTCCGGGGAGAACGGGGTGGGGGTAGAGGGGGCCGAGTACGCGGTGACAGGAGGAGACTAGGCTGTGGGTGGCGAGCACCCAGTGGAGTGCACAGACGCTGCCGTAGCAAGCCGTGCACCTGAGGTTTGTATAGTGCTATCAGCCAGTGTCATCCCCATACATGTCAGTAAAACACCAAGTGAGTGGCCCTGGGAAAAGGGGAAAACGCCCGGTCCCGTCAGCACGGCGGCAGAGACCCACTGATGTGCTGGGGGTGCTGCATCTCCAGAGGACTGTGGAGTGCTTCAGGGGGAAACAGCCGTGCATGAAAATGAAACTGTGGAATACGGCCCCAGTTTCTATTCCCCTCTCCACCTCTCACTGCCCACGAAGAAATGTTACTGTTTCCTTAGTTTCTGAGACAGAACCATGCTGCTTCCCTCCTGTCACCGCGTGGAGGACAGGCCTCCAGCCCCAGAGCCACAGCAGCCTGGACCGGAGCCGGGGGTGGGGTGGGGGGGCTGCCCCGGGCCTGCGCCCCCCTGACTCACCTTCCCCAGGGCGGTCAGCAGGGGGAAGTTGATGGTCTGCCGGTGCCGCAGGATCCGCAGGATGCCGTCCAAGTACACCTGGTCTTTACTGAAACACCCTGGAGGGACCGCAACAGTGTTTACTCTCCGAGGCTCGGAAGAATCACCAAGAATTACACACTAACCCATCCCCTTGACTATGCGACTCAGTCCTGTAATGAAAAAGCAATGTTCCAATTTGCCGTGTTTATTTTTATTTAATGACTGTATCTTCATAACATAACCGCTATATCTGCGTATGATCCTGGTCTTTGGAAGCGCCAGGATAATATGCAGACCCAGTAGCTTCCCTTTAAGAATTCCTGCTCTGGCCAGCATGGCCCAGTCGGTGGGGTGTCATCCTGCAAACTGAAGGGTCGCCAGTTTGATTCCTGGTCAGGGCACGTGCCTGGCTTGCAGGCTCTGTGCTCTGCTCCCTGTCGGGGTGCTGGCAGAAGAGAGAAGGCAACCAATCGGTGTTTCTCTCCCTCTCTTTGTCTCTCCATTCCCCTCTACATTTTTAAAATATTCTTTTAAAAAAGAATTCCTTCCTCCCCTAACCCCACTCACTGTAATTAAACAGTATTTTTCCCCACTCATAAAGAAACACTGGTGATTTAAACTGCCCATGGAGACAATAGGCACTGGGACTGTGCTCCTGGCCTCTCTTGTCTTCAGAAAAACAAAGATGAAAAGGTGCCAGCGATGCCCAGTGAAACGAACGGACTCGGTCTAGGGTCACTGATGGACGCAAACACCAGTACATAACACTGTTGGGAACCAGGGCATTTTCACAGCAACTGTCGCCTCGCAGATCATTTAATAGTTAAACGGGGGAAGGAAAATACACTCTTATAGACAACAGAGCTCACAGCCCCCCACCCCGCCCTGCAACGGGAGGCAGAGGCTGCATCTCTAACACTGGAAGAACCTGCCCTCAGGCGGCTCCTGGTAGGACCCGACACCATGCGTGTCATTTTCTCTGACACTTGTGCACCCTGAGCCTAATCGTGAGGACACCGTCAAAGGCGCCCAGACCGTGGGCTCCCTGCAACAACAGTGGCCTGGATGTTTTAGAAACAAGTCGCTGTCGTGAAGACCAGCGAGGTGGGAAGATGCTCCGTGTTAACAACAGAGGCTGAGGAGACACAACCACGGGAGGTGATGCGTGCACGGCGGCTGGACCCGGATTTCCTCTCAACAGCCACCAAGGACATTCTGTACCAGCTGGGGAAGTCTAACTATTGCGGGTGTATTGATTGACGTTGCCAAACTAATGCTCGCTTTCTGAAGTGTGATGATGATATTGTGTTGGGGAGAAACTTTTTCCTTACGAGATGTATGCTCAAGTTTTTAGGGATGCAATGTCAAGTGTACAATTGACTTGTGAAAAGTCACAGAGCATTCCATCGAGTGAACACACAACCCACAGAAACGGGAGAAAATATCTGTAAACTGTGCATCTGACAAGAGGTCCCTGTCTAGAATACAGAAAGAACTCTAAAACCCAACAGCAAAAAGAAAGCCAATTTAAAAATGAGCAAAAGATCTGAGCAATTATGTGAAGATGACATGCAAACAGCCAATAAGCACGTCAAAAGATGCTCGGCTTAAGCACAGAGAGAAGCCAGCAGCGGAGGGGGCTGTGGAGGCACTGGAGCCTCGCCCCTGCCGGGGGGTGGGCAGCCAGGCGGCCGCGCTGGGACACAGCCTGGCGGCTCCTGGAGGGGAGGCTAAGCACAGAGCTACCGCCTGACCCAGCAGTTCCCTTCCTAGGTGTTTATCCGAGAGAATTAAAAACACAAACTTGTACGCCCATGTTCATAGCAGCATTATTCCTAATAGTCAAAGTGCAGAAACATCCAAATTTCCATAAAGGGGTGAATGGATAAATAAAATTGTTGAATCCATGCAACTGAACACCATTCAGGAATAAAAAGTACTGAAATACCAAAGCCTGCTACGATGTGGGTGAAACTTTAAAATATGCCGAGTGACAGAAGCCAGTCACAAAGAATGACATGTTATCTGGTTCCGTTTACGTGGAATGTCCGAGACGGTCAACCCATGAAAGTACATTAACAGGAACTCAGAGCTGGGGAGAGGGAATGGAGAACGACTACCACGGGGTGCAGGTTTCTCCCTGGGGTGACGAAAACGTTCTGGAAGTAGGAGTCGGCGACCGGTGCACAGCTCTGTGAATACTCGAAAAACCACCGAGCCGCACATTTCAGATGGGTGATTTGTGTGTCACGTGAGCGGTATCCCGGCAAAACTGTTTTTAAAGCCGGAGAAAGAAACCACAAATGGCAACATGTCAGCAACTGGTGAGTCTAGGAGAAGGGTAGGTGAGTGTTCATTCAGTCTTCCTTTCTGTATTTGTCCGTTTGCAATTTTTCAAAACGAGATGGAAAAAACGATGCCCGTGAAATGTGGTCTGGGAAAACCAGCACCGACCTTACGTAACAGAGGTTTAACTTTGCGCAGGTCAGTGCTTGGAGAACTAGGATGTGACCAAAGTCGATAAACCACCACCCGCAGAGCCCGAAGACCCCCCTCGGGGGGGGACACCCACCTGGTTGGGAGGTGTCCGTCCAGCCCCTCTTGGCTCGAACGCAGTAATCCCACCTCGTGTGCGGGTCCGAGACGAACCTGCCGATGTCCTCGAAGAGCTCGCGGAACGACAGCTGGCCGGCCTGGTGCACGGTGTAGTACAGGAGGGCGGCTCGCCACAGGAAGGGGTCCTTCCTGAACAGGACGCTGTGGATGCTCGCCAGGCCTTCCTCCGTGGGGTTGTTCGGCTTCAGCTCGAGCTTCCTGCGGCCGCTCCAGCTGCTCCACGGCTGCTGCAGGTTGTTGACCCCGCGGAAGTAGTGTGTGCCTGCGCGGGGGCGGGGAGGGGAGAGGCGCGTGAACACCGCAAGGGCCGGTCTCGGCTCCCTTCCCCGGAGAGAGCCGCCCAGCAGTTCCAGAACCAAGGCTTTCGGTCGGAGGTTTGTCTTCCGGAGGCTCACACGTCTCGGCAGGAGGAGTGTGACTTCCATAGCAGTTGTTTTTTGTTTTTTTTTTTAAATGGAAGAATCATAGACTTGACACTGTAAAAGAATCTCAGAGATCATGGAATTCAATTCCTTCCGTTTAAGGTCAAGGGCCCGAAATCCCCAGGGTTAAATGAGTTTTTAGGGTTAATACAGCCACACAGTGCCCTAAAAACCTAACTTGGACTGAGACCTCGCTCATTGCAGCCTTAGGTCAAGTGCAAGCCAACGATTTCATTGTTCTTGCCAAACACCACTAAGAAAAAAACCCATTATAAAAGAACCTTTCTGCGAAGCCGCTTTCAGCTGACCCGGGAATGAACAGCGGGGAAGGGGCGCCCCTACCTATTTCATGCCTCAGCATGCCCTCCAGCCAGTGCTCGCGGGCCGTGGAGACGTTGATGGTCAGCGTCGGACACCCGTTGACCACCGTCATCGAGGCTCGGGACAGCAGGTCCTCGGTGAGGTGGACTACGATCTAAGGAGCAACAGGAAACACACACACATATGCACACACACACACACAAACACACGCACATGAACACACATATACATATACACAGACACACACACAATGCAAAGGTAAGAGACATCAATGGCCCCATAAATGGACACTTTTTCTTCTGATTACCCTGCCCTGAATCTCCCAGAAACCAAGATGAAGAAACCCAGGGCTGTCACCTTGACCCTCTGATTCTGAGCTGGTGGGAACTCCTGGGCTTGGACAGGACGAAGGCAAAGCAGGCGGCTCTGCCGGGAAGGCAGAGAGCGCTGACCTGCCTCCGCTGGGCTCCGACCCCGGCCAGAACGGCGCGCAGGAAGGTGCCCAGCAGAGAGCCGACCTCCGCTTTTTCCAAGACTGATCCCAGGACCTGGCTGCTAAGAAGAAGGGCCGCTGGGGCAATCACCAACTTACAACTTCCCACGGGCTATACAGAAATGGCAGTAAAAAAGGAACTAAACCCAATTCAATGCAACAGAGGAGACGTAGAACACTTGGTCAGGAACCTGGATGACCCGTTTAAGGCGCTAAGCGGGGTTGGAGAAACAAACCCTGCGGCAGGCGGCACGTGGCGCTTGCAGAGGGTGCGTGCGCGCCCGCGGCTGAGCAGTGCGCGTGCCCGCGGCCGAGCCCTGCGCGCCCTCGGGGGTTGTACCTCGCCCATGCAGCCTTCCTTCGCCATGTACTTCCTGACGTGGCTCCAGATCCGCGGCTTCGACAGCAGGCTACCACCCGTGGCCTGCTCGAAGTTTTCGTAACTCCCGTATTTCTGCAAAGTCAGTTCCATAATATTGATAGACTGTAAAAGAGATAACAAAAGCAAAGTCTCCTGTTACTTCGAGATGAGCCATAAGCCCGTTAGATTCCGCTCACTCTCGCAGCCGTTCGGAACCGCCCGGGCACGCGCTGCGCACGTCGCTTCCTGCGCTCGCCCCTCCGGAACCCAGACGCCCCGCCCCGCGACTGCGCAGTCTCCTGGCCCGGGACCCACAGCGCCATGACCGTGGCCAGGTGTCCACCCAAGACCCCCCGGAAACTGAGTCCACACGACCTCTGTACACACGTGTCCACAGCAGCAGCGTTCATAAAGGCCAAAAAGAAGAAACCACCCAGATGCCTATCAACCGGTCAACAGACAGAGAAAATGCAAGACATGCACACATGGGACATTACTCAACAATAAAAAGCACTGATACCCGCCACAACATAAATGAGTCTTGAAGACACTGTGCTAAGGCAGCTTGTTACAAAGGACCACATGTTGTATGACTCCACGCATCTGAAATTTCCAGAAGAAGCAAATCCACAGAAGAAGAGACGGCAGACTTGCGGGGGGCTCCTGGGACTGGGAGGATGGGGGCAATGGTGGGTCTTGCCAGTGGGTGTAGGGTTTCTCCTTGGGGTGACGAAACATCCCCGCATTCGACAGTGGTGCTGTTTGTGTAATTCTGAACACACTGAAAATCACAGACTGCACGCTTTCGGTGGGTAAACTTAGGGCATGTGAATTTTGTCCTAATGAAGCTCTCATTTGAAATGGAATAGTGGCCAAACAGCACTATGTAACATTTAAACCACTGGCCCAGACAGTGAAGAATCTCTACACAGAGTGTTCAGCACTGTCTTGGGTAAAACCAACTCCCTGAAAAAACCTCAGCATTCTGTCGCCAGATCCGTTTTCGGTCTGCTTGCTGGTTCGGTTCACTGTTCAGCGTTTGGAAATCTGACCGTCCCTCACGAGCCACCTCGAGTCATGCGCTAAAAGATGATCTCCCTTCTCAACTGCAGGCTCCGCTCCGTGGGAAACACTGCAATGGGGACACCAGCAGGACAGGAGGCGGGTGAGGTCGGGGTGAGACCAGAAGTCAGAAGACCTGGGTTTACCATTAGCGCCCTGCCGTTTACTGACCGTGAGATCTTAGGCATGCCACTCGTCTTTCTCGGGTTTAGTTTCTTCACTGGCAAAGTGGAGATGGAAATCTTTGCCCCACTTACCCCACAGGGTTGTTGTGAGGACAAAATTATATATAATGATAGAGAAAAAGAGGGGGGGAAGGGGAGGGGGCAGAGAGAGACTGTGAATGCACTTGGTAATTATTTCCCATATAACTGTGGACAGTATTTAAGTTTTAACAGGATTAAATGCTGGGTTCTAATTTCAGAATTGAAGATAGTTGGTCTGACCTCCACTCAATCCCCAACCCTCCCTTCGTTCCTCCCCTTTGTAGCAGACTCTGCCATCTAGAACTCCCCCACCCTCAAAATACAGCAAGGCCCCGGAGATCACTCCACTCTGTTGCCTTTGGGAAGGTGGCTGGCGAGACAGCATTGTTAAAAGGATCCATGGCCATTGGGAAAATACTGGATTAAACCAAGTGAAACAAGACTCTTCCAAGCCTCCATCATACTAAGTGTGGCAAATCTTGAAGGTGAATATTTTGTGTTTTCTAACTCACATGGCCCTCTTTCTCACACAGTATTCCTCGGAACAGCTGGAAAATGCTTAATTCAGTAACTACAAGGTGCACACGCAAACATACATCTTTTTGGTACTTCCAGATTCTCAGCACAAAAAGCAAATACTCAGGAAGTTTTTCAGCGGTGGCTACTGCATCTTGGCCGCACAGGAGGACGCAGGCATTTTGGATTACTCGGTTGGACCAGGAGGCCTCCACCGCACCGACGGGGCCCTGGCGCCGCGGCCGCCTGCTCAGGCTCCCCAGCTGCAAGCGGCAACTGCAGCATAAATTTAGCCGCTGAGCGCGAGACACCTGGGAGAGGCAACACAAGAGCGATTTTATATTCCAGTGTTTTAAAAAAACACACTGGGCTGACCCCCAAAAACATATATGCAGGCTGAACATGACCCTCGGCCCACAAGCCTGAACCCGCTGTCTATTGAGCGCTTGGCTAAATTTCTCGAGTCCCATCAACGAGGACCCTTCGTTCACTCATTCCCCCACCTCTATGGCCGCCTTCCACTCGCGGCTGCTTCTGCTCACTCTCGTGTTGTAGGATCGAAGTCCCCGTCCAGCCATCAGACTGGCGGAGAGGACGCAGGCATCGACAGTGTTCAGCAGTGCTCCGTGGGGGTGGGAGTCAGGTGCTGTGAGCTCACAGGGAAGGTGAGTACGAGCAGGGACCGGAGGAAACAGAGGGCAGTCCACACAGAAAGGAACGATATGGTCCAAAGCTCACACTCAACACAAAGCAAAGAAAGTGCAGCACGGGGTTCCAGGGGCCAGACAGGCACGGGGGACTCCCTCATTTATTGCCAGGAACTGGCCAGATTCGGGAACCAGCTGTGATCAACGAGGGCAGTCAACGAGGGTGGAGATAAACGGAATAAGGATGGTCACGGCATCGCACGCGCTGTGACAGGTCACCTGCAGGAGACGCTGGGCGAGCACAGAGCGGACTTTGGAAATACCAGCGTGCGCCAGAGCACGGGAGGGAAAAGGCCCACAGGCCGAGCTAAGGGTGTGGGGCTGTCCTCCATTGCCAGGAGCCCTGAAGTTGCAGGAAGGGAAGGGATGCCATCAGATCTGCACCTTAGAAAGACGCCCCCAGCAGTGTGGCGAGCAGGGGAGACTGAAGCAAAAGTACCTCTGCCAATAATTCAGTTTTCTATAAAACAGACTGCACGCTATGACCAGATTGTAATTAAAGAACAAAAATGCTTAAAAAAATCGTACTCTACGCAGAACCCAGGAAATGAACAGACAGATCCAAGACACCCAGGTGGCCTTCATGGAAGGAACAAGAGAAACAACTCAGGACACAGGGAGATGCCACCTGCAGTGTCCCCACCCCCCACCTTCTGAGTGTCTGTGCCCTGGGGCGGGGGCGGACTGAAGAAGGTGAGGACAGGACGTTTATAAACAGCTTACGCTGCACAGTCCTCCTCCCCCAGCTGCAAGAACTAAAGCCGATATTCAAGCTGCTCGGTGGGAAAGACCCCGTTCAGATAGGAACCCGAGAATGCACTTGGGCAAGTTTTCAAAGGCACGTCCACAAAGTGTCCTTTCAGCGAGTCATCAAGGTCGCGCCTCCGTCCAAGGACAGCAGACAGTCTGATGGAGTGTCCCCATTCTGACTGTAAGAAGATCTTCCTTGCTAGTTAGGTGAGGAAATCACCCCACTTCTCCAGTCTAACACACAGAATTGCTTCGGAATGTACTAAACTCAAAGCAGTCTTTTGAAAAATCTTGTATCTTTAGGGTATCTGAGAAAAGTTTGATTTGGCTAAGCAGAAAACTGTGTCACCTAGGGAGAGGGAGACTTTAAAGAAGGCTGGCTGTGTCCTGCTCTCTCTTTTAAAGGTTTTATTTATTTACTTTTAGAGGGAAGGGGAGGGAGGAAGGAAGAGAGGGAGAGAAACATCGATTGGTTGCCTCTCACACGTGCCCCAACTGGGGACCTGGCCCACAACCTAGGCATATGCCCTGACAGGGAATCAAACCAGCAACCTTTCGGTTCCCAGGCTGGCACTCAATCCACGGAGGGGCACCAGCCACAGTTGTCTTGCTCTGTCCTGTTTGGACAACTTGAGGTCTACCGAGATAAAATACCATCAGTGCTGGTACAACTGAAAATTAGCCTTAAATTTTACATCCAGACATCCTGCTGTCAGCGCAGGCATCTATCTGATTTCCAATTAGGCTGTTTCTATCAAAAATGAAACTTGAACATGTCTTGCTTTAGAATACAACACAATTTTATGTATTCATTGTGCATGTTTTAATACAACAATGTTACCTGTTCCACTTGTGCTAGAAACTCTGAAAGCAGGACACTGTTTTCCGAGGACCAAATTTCACAATCATTGTCATGCTAATCAGTGGCCCCAATACAGCAGAATTCATGTTGAGCAGATCTAGTGACTCAGAGGTGGCAACCCGGCAACCCGAGGCACGAAGGTGGCCCCCAGAGAGGTTGTCTTGGGTCTGGACAGCCTTCGTTTGTTTAGCTGCGTTAGCCGTCAACATTCACCCATCGGAAGACTTCCTGTGGAACTCAGGTGCCCGCTTCTCTCCCTCACGTCGTGGGGATGGACCGAGTGGAAGCTCTGATGAACTGCTCTCTGGTTTCCAGTCTGCTCCTGGGCCCAGCCAGCGCCCTGGGATCATTTACGACCCCGGCTCAGGCCCTTACAGGCGTCTGAGTTTGTGACCCTGCAGGTACCCTAACCGAACAGCTCGCTGACTAGGGAAGTGCAAACCAGAACGTACTTCCTAACACAATGAAGCTGGTCCACCCAGGCACGTACTTTGAACAGCCGCACTCTGCAAATGGAAACGCAATGCCGTGCCATAGAGTGCGGCTCCTACGCTGTCTCAGCGCAAGAAAGGGCTGCTGCCCAAGTCAGGGTCCTGTCCTCAAAACAGTGAGCAGACTTTGACGTTTACTGCACAAAACTACGTGCCGTGTGTCTGCACCGGGCAATCTGGACAGTGTGCCTCATGCCATTCACATACGATGGGTTAAACTGGAAGACAACTTCTAGATTCTCATTATTTTCTTCTTTAAATGAGTGCCTAAATGTTTGCTTGATGATGAACTATGTTAGGAAAGCATGAAAAGTTCATGGGCAAGTATCGAGCCTCAGTCCCCCAAATGCCCACAAGGGCGGGGGGCCGGAGCACCAGGGGAGCTGAGCCGGCACCTCCACCCGCGGCCACACCCCGGGACTCCCGAGTGAGAGTCTGGGGCCAGGCTCTGGAGCTAGCTCTCCTCCTAACAGCATGTCTTCCTGCCCCAGAGTCCGGAAAGCAGATTCCTTACAGAGCTTGGCGAATGCGAAGCAGTCTACCAAAGGCTCTGCCACTTACCTGGAAGTTTCTTGCCCCATGTAGACATGTCCTGGGTGGGAGTTAACGACAACATGTAAACAATTAGAGTGTCTTTAAATACTTGAAAACATTGTTTTCTTTCGGCACGATTGCAAATAGTTGTTTCAGCTGCAGAAACACGCGCCACCGCCGCCGTGGAGGCAGCACCTTACCTGCTTGAGGAACCGGTCGGACACGTGGCTGTGCTTGGCTAGCACGCTGGGCAGGGCGGGGTTGGCGTATTCAAACTGGGGGTTGTACGTGTAGTCAGACTTGAAGAACCTCAGCTTTTCCTTCTCCAAGTTCGTGGGCTTGATAGCAGTCAGTATACAAAACTTCTTTCCAGAAAAGTCATCTCCCTTTTCAAAACTTCTGGACAGCTGCGGCTGCGGCTGCAGCTGCGGCTTTGGCTTTGAAAGGGTGGAGAAATGGCGTCGCTTGACCTTGGGTTTCGGCGGCAGTCCTATGCTGTTCCCTGTGACAGAGATATCGTGCGTGAACTTGGCGGGACTTGACACGGGACTAGCGACGAAAACCGTGGGCTGCCTCTCCAGGCAGTACCAGGTGCCGCCGCTCATCCTGGGCACTGGCGTTTTCATCTTGCGAAGATCTTTACTGCGAGAAGAGCTAGGGGTCTTGCTGGGTTTTCTGCATCGTTTGGGGCATGCAGATGAAGACTGCTTTTGTGAGTGGTGCTTCTTCTCCTCTTTGCTCTGCAGGAGGACATTGTAACTGCTGGTCCCAGTCGTGAAAATGTCCTTCAGTATGCCGGGAGGTAAGCGTGGACTGCTTCTTTTGCTGTCCGTGACCAAGGACTCCTCTGCATGCAGGACAGACTTCTTAGCCAGCTCCTGCTCAGGCCAGTGAAGCTTTTCTGTGTTGGCAAACAAAATCAAAACAAAAGAAACAACAAAGATACCAGATGAAGCAAACTGCTTATTGTAAGTATTCTGGAGGCTGTGTGAACTTTATAATTTTGCGACGATCTTTAGAAAAGACATTTTAAGTATTAAAAGGATATATTATGAAACTTTAGGCATGCTAACCACGGTCAGTTCCATTTGGGGGTTTATGTGCTAAATTACCTACAAAAGTCCACAGTTTCAAACCATTTAGATGGCCAAAGCTTAGTCTAGGTGTGAGATAATACACATAAATAATCTAAATACTCAATTCTACCAAAGAATGTGGATTTCACAAAAGGATACAGTTTTCAACAGTATTACCAACATCAAAGTAAAACCCAAGGCACTTTTGAAGCCAATACAGTCTTGAAATCTGATGTTTATATAAAGTGACCATCGGTAAAGGAAGGATAACACTGCCTTATTGATCTAAAAAGCCACTTTTAATATTAAATAAAAGATATGTGTGTTTAAGCAGAATTTAGTAATACCTCTCAATATTAATTGGTTAATTTTCTTAATTCTAGGCTATAGGTTAAGGTTAAAGAAAGCCAAGGTATTTTTCTTGCCATGTCTGAAAAAAATTATAACTACTGTTACATAGGTACCAGTATATCAAATAGCAAATTAAGGAGAGGTCAACTTTGTCTTTAGATCTCACAAGTAGTTTAAAGAAATAAGGATCGCTTGATATGTTGCTACTCTTGTGCTTTTTTTTTAAAGATTTTGTTTATTTAATTTTAGAGAGAGAAGGGAGGGGGAGGGGAGAGAGAGAGAGAGAGAGAGAGAGAGAGAGAAACATCAATGTGCGGTTGCTGGTGGTCATGGCCTGCAACCCAGGCATGTACCCTGACTGGGAATCAAACCTGCAACACTTTGGTTCACAGCCCTCGTTCAATCCACTGAGCTACGCCAGCCAGGCCACTCTTGTGCTTTTTAAGACCCGATTTGCATTCTTTCATTCCACAAACACACGGAATACTACTAACTAGGCACAAGGCTCTGAGAAACATCTGTACCAATACATTGTTCCTGCCTTCAGCCAGCCTCTAATCCGGCTCTGAAGGCAAGGCCTTTAGAAGCTATGAAGCTACGAAGCTCTAAATAATCCTACAAGGTACAATAGTAAGAAGCTTCACTGTGGAAGGCAGAAGACATAACCGAGACGTCAGAGAAGGAAGAGAGCAATGTGAAGAGAGACAGATGAGATCTCAGGTAGACCCTCAAGAGCTTTCAGGTTCCATTCTCAACTCACAACGTGTCTGAGTCTGCCTTGAATCCTGCTCACCCGAGCTTGACTCCAGCTCGTTCCTATCTAGGAGTCTGACCAAGCCGGCTCGTAAACCTGTTCTGAGTCCTTTCTGCAAATGCAACAAATCGTGATTCTCAACCGGTCTCCTTTTCCAGTTCTCACGGACCGTTATGCCTCGGGCCCTCAACCTTTGGCTCCTACCACTGAGGCGAGTTCAATGCCAGCTGAGTCGGATGAGTGCCTGCTTTGCCAAGAAACAGACAGTTTATTTTACTTTAATGTTTTGAAGATTATTTCTCCACGTACATCTGTCATTCAAGACTACAAGTTCAGGGGTCCTCTCTGCAATGAGTAGTAATACATAACAGCAGCAGCAGCAGCAGCCACCATTTGCTGACACACTTATATATAAAGAGTTTGGGATTTCGCCCAAAACTGTTTGTGCTGTATCACCTACACCTCAGAGATGCTAAGTAACTGGCGCCAGGTTTTATGGCGAGCAAGTGCTAAACAGCAAACTGTGGTTTGGGCGCAGGTGTGTCTGGTTACAAAACCACACTCGTTCTCCTAGGTGTGGTCATTCACTTAGTTGCCCACAGACATTCAGTATTAAGCCGGCTACATGCACGGCACCCAGAACAGGTGACCCAGTAAGACACGGTGGTCTGAATGACAGATGTAGGAAGACAGGCCCCAGGACCGTGTTTGATTCTCCTCTCTCCTTCCAACATTTGGCACTGTATCTGGGAGACATTCGGTGAACGTCCACTGAGTGAACGGCGCGACCTTAGGCCACTCTCCAGCCACTGTGGGTGGGTGGACAGGGGTCAGTAGCGCTGGGACCACTTCATATTTATGTGAGGAGATAACCACACCAGCAGAGCTGTAAAGGGGAAGACCCTCAATCCACAGCTCTCAACCAGAGGCAAACCTCCAACCTCCACTGCAGGGGACCACCGGCAGTGTCTGGAGACATGCTGGTGTCACCACTAGGGGGCGCTCCTGCAGGCATCTTGTCCGGGGAGAGAGGTCAGAGATGAGGTCAGACATCCTTCCATGCACAGGAAGGCTCCCACAACAAAAGCATCCATCTAAAACACTGCCAGGGGAGAGAGCCCTGCTCTAAACGTAGGTCTGTCTCCAAAGCCCAGAAGTCACAGGGCTTAGGCTGAAGAGACAGCGCCAGGTCAAAAGTGACTAATAATAATCTCTTTCTCTAAGGTCCTGAAAAGTCCTTCTGCTCAGCGTTTCCTAGGCCAACATGTGAAATCCGAATCCTGGAGTCTAGAAGACAGAGCAACGTGCAGGGGTTAGATACACCCTCTGCCGCCTCTCCCGGCCGAGAGGGGAGAAGCCGGAGCTGGACTGCGCAGGGCCGGATGGAAGGCCGGCTGCACAAAGCAGCCGTTCAGCGCGAGTCTAAGACCGGCCAGAAACAAGCAGAACAAACGGAACTTTCACTGCAGGCAGGCAGGCGGGCGGGCGGGCGGGTCCCAGTCCCTCGGGGTTTCAGACGTAAGCGTGGCCACCTGAGAGGCCTGGGGCTGCAGGAACCCAGGCCAAGGAGCTCCAGAGCTCAGGCTGTGGCCCAGGGGACGGCCCCTCCACCCCCCCCCACCCCGGCCCCAAACAAGGCCAGCGTCCAGAGAGGCCCAGAGGCCACCGTGAGGGGGAGGCCGAGATGCGCGCGGGGAGGGAAAGGGCAGGAGAACCGAGATAAGAATAAGAACGGGGTGTCGCAAGCCTAGAGGGGTCGGGTGAGGACGCGGCTGGCCAGGGAGGTCAGAGGACGCAACCGGGTTTTCTCGCGGGGTCTTCGCAAGGAAAAGCAGGGAAATGACCACAAACCAATGTCAATGAATAAGACTACCCTGGGGAATTCCTAGTTTTCACGGTTTATTACACTTGTGTTGATTGTTTAAAAATGGACATTCAATGGAAAAATGCATTCTTTGGTTCCCAAGACTCAGTAGCTCTATGACCAAAGGGGTGACCTTACAGAGCTCTCTTCTGTTCTGTCATCAAGCGCCAGTGACCTCTGAACTCATCACTGCGTCCCACTAGGACGAGCTACGCTTCAGGACGCTTCCAGAACATCCCATACCATCTGCCAAAACCCTGGAGGAGGGGGCTGGGCTGGGGGAGAGGTGACAGCATGCAACGGAACCCCTCCCCCAGGGGGTGCCGCCTGCACTCAGTTCACTTGCTCATCATCTACCTGGGGGCTCGGCCTCAGCCCCTCCACAGCGCCCTCTGCCTGCGGGGGGGGGGGGCCAAGTGTGGGAGGTCTGCCTGTGGGGGGGGGGTCAAGTGTGGGAGGTCTGCCTGCGGGGGGGGGGGGGTGTCAAGTGTGGGAGGGCCCCCGGTGCTGCTCCCGCTAACAAATACCACTGCTGCCAGCGGCTGCTGTCCCCTGAGGCCCACAGGCACGGCGCTCCTTCAGACACGCACACGCACACGGGAAGCGTGTTAATGCATCCCTCACAGTCGTCACACCAACCTTATTTTCAGTTGTATGAAAAGAATTAGCTTGAAAGTGTTTTTTTTGTGATTTTTAAATACGACTGTTTAAGAGAAAATGACTTTTAAGCCTGTATACAAACACAAGCAAAGCCCAGGAAAGAAGGTTTCATCGAAGAACATCCTATTCTAACTTTTTCCTGAACAAGCATGATAGACTTCCTTGGGGAAGTGTAACTCATTTTCCCTCAGAAAGGTAATAAGGTAGCTAAAAGTCACACTTCCTCACAGTGAAAGTCACTGCACAATGTGACACGTCAGCCGTCAGCGAGCGGCCTCACGGGAGCCTTGGAGCACATGCACGCGGCCTGCCGACCACGGAAATCATTCACCCCGACGGACAGGCCGACCCGTGCTGGGGCGAGCAGGGGAACAGGACATTAGGATCGACACTGGGAACGAACGGCCCCGCCCCTGGGGGAGCAGGCTGAAATTACCTCCACAATGGAGGCTCCTCTGCACCCGGCGCAAGAGCCAGGGCAGCAGGGCACCGGCTCCCGTTCCCCCTCTCTCAATGACCTCCTGTGAGAGGAGCCCAATCGCGGGGCCCATCAGGCCTCCCGCTCCGGGGCCCAAGGAGCAGGGAGCGGGGAGCCCGAAACTCTCAGCGTTTCACCCCTGGGAATAGGGGAGGTTTCACAGGAGTCACCAGGTCCCGGGCTGAAAGGAAGGTTACATCACCAGAGACAAAACCGAGTGGAAAATACCATTCAACCCATTTTGACCCACAAGGTGGCGATTTTATGTGGTTCGTTACCACTTATGAAACCTCAGAACCCGGGGTTACTTTACACCAAAAACAACAGGTTACTTGATTACAAGCAGAAGAAAAGTCAGAACAAAATCATCCCTGAAGAAGATAAACACTTTTATCAGGAATAATCATCATCTAGCCCTGGCTGGCGTAGCTCAGTGGATTGAGCACGGGCTGTGAACCAAAGTGTCGCAGGTTTGATTCCCAGTCAGGGCACGTGCCTGGGTTGCAGGCCATGGCCCCCAGCAACTGCACACTGACGTTTCTCTCTCTCTCTCTCTCTCTCTCTCTCTCTCTCTCTCTCTCTCTCTTTCTCCCTCCCTTCCCTCTCTAAAAATAAATAAATAAAATCTTTTTAAAAAAAAGAATAATCATCATCTCTTAAGACTCCAATGACACAATCTCAATCAGCAGCAGAAAGGACGAACAACTAAACTGTGGCGTATTTACACAATAGAATAGTGCATTGCAGCGAAAGAGAACAAACTGAGGTCGCAAGCAACAATCTAGATGAATCTCACAGATAACACTGAGCAAACAAAACCATATCAAAAGAGTACATACTATATAAATCTGTTTATATGTAGTTCCAAAACAGGCAAAACTGATGCATGGTATTAGCAGCCAGAATAGGGGTCATCTCTGAGTGAGGGGTCATAACCTCGGAGGAGGTCCCAGGGTGAGTGATGGAGATGTCCTACTTCTTGTTCTGGGAGTGGTTACAAATGTACCCATTCATCATGCTACCCGTTTAAGACTGGTGTGCCTCAATAAATGGAAGTTACACCTTGATTTTTTAAATGGCTTATAAAAAATTACTATCTTTGAAAAGAGATATACTGCCCACTGTCTGCCTTATAATAGGTAAGCTACCAGTTTATCATCTCTACATTCAACAGCCCCCACTGCAGCTTCTCACTGTAAGTTACCAAACAAGAGAAGATTCTGCTATTGTAACTCAGGAACTGAGAAACACAGCTGTATTTCAGGGTTCCTAAAAATGCCACCGTCCCAGCTAGGGGTACCTCAGTGTTACTCTACCGGTAACACTGACTCTTCACAATGTGACACTTAGTTTTTGGCCAGAAACCATTGACTGTTATTTTTCACAGTTAGAAATACACAGGGTATTGTATAATGCCAGAAAACGATGCTTGGAGTTGAAAAAAAAACCATAAACACCATCTGAAACAACGCTGCACATGCCGGAGAACACACTCCCCCACGGTTTTCCGTTTAGGATGCAAACAGAACCACGTGCCCGAGGTCCCCCAGGTCAGGTCGCTCTGCCTGGCAGCCGCAGCCTGCACAGAGTCCCCAGGGTCAGTCCGCTCGCGCTTCCCTTCGCTCCCCGGTCCCTCACCCGCCCCACTCCCCAGGCACGGCCCCACTCCCCAGGCACAGCCCCTCTTCACACTCTGGCCCCTTGTTCCGCGTGTCCTTCCCTCCCCTCTCTGTCAGACTCATGTCCACTGAGCCTTCCGTTCAGCCGTCCCTTGTTCAGGGACCCTGTTCTGGGACACCTGGAGAGCACCTGCCACGGCCGCCGTTTCCCGTGAGCTGGTAGGATGGCCTCCTGCAGCCCCAAACGTCCACAGCCCAGTGCCGCGGAGTGCTGTGGCTGCTCCTGCTCACTGCTCTGCTTACGAAAAGATGGCCAGAGGGCAGCAAAGGGGAGAGAACAATGGAGAGGAGAGAAAGAACACACGATCTGAATGCTGGGGACCGAGAAGCAAATCCCACCAGGACGGCACAAAACATGGACAAGTGGAGATGCTGGAGACGAGCTTTCATCATGGAGGGTCCTCTGCCGTGGCAGGGCGGGCAGCACCTCTGCGCCCAGGCGTGTCCACCCCGCAGGGCCAAACCCCAGCCTTAAAAGGAGACTTCGGTCTCAGGGTTTTTAAACATTCGCCTTTGCTACAAAGGAGCTTCATGACTCGACAACTCGTCCATCATTTCTTCCATCACATACCAAGAAATGGGCAGAAAGAAATCATCGGTTAACGTAATCTGTTATGACAGCACTTTGCTGGGGCTTCTGCCCCAGGGCTTCGGACAGCACTTTGCTCCTCGTTCAGTGAGCTGGGTGTCGTCTTGTCTCTTTCGAAAACAACAACGTTAGAGTGAAGTATGGCCCTTCCAGACCAAAGCTTGTAGACTTGCCTGGGGTACAGGGTTAAAAGACGCCCCCCTGAGTGCACCACCAGATCATGTACCACTGCCGTCAAGGGAGGCCTTCCTGCAGGGTCGCATGGCCTTGGTCAGCACTTGGGGTGGCTGCGGCCGGGCTGCGGCCTCCCAGCAGCTGAGAACAGGGGTGTGGGTATGGGAGCAGGCTCCTTTGCTCGGAACCTGGACTACCTGTCAGGAGCTGGGACCTTAACCAAGCTACTGCACTTCGCTGTGCTGTGGTTTCTTCTCTGTAAAGTGGGATGATGAACTAACTGCACACGTCCCAGTATCGGTGCAAGGAGCACAGCGGGGACCACGCGTGCAGTTGTTGAGAAGCGTGCTGGTGTGTACGACAGAGAGCAGCCTGCGCTCATGATCAGTGTCCTCACCAACTTCAGTGCCACATTCGGATCCCAGGGACAAACTCCATGAAATAATATAAACGGAAAAACACTTAGAGTCATTAAATTTAGATTTCCAAGGTAAATGTAACACTGAGTAATTAATTCTACTTTCTAGAAGCAATATTTTGTGGTTTTAGTATAATAAACTATCTTCTTTTAAAAAGACATGGATGCCCTGGCTGGCGTAGCTCAGTGGATTGAGCGCGGGCTGCGAACCAAAGCATCGCAGGTTCGATTCCCAGTCAGGGCACATGCCTGGGTTGCAGGCCACGGCCCCCAGCAACCGCACATTGATGTTTCTCTCTTTCTCTCTCTCTCTCTCTCTCTTTCTCCCTCCTTCCTTCTCTAAAAATAAATAAATAAAATCTTTAAAAAAAGACATGGAGAGGCACAGAAGCCTTTTCTGACTTGCTTTCATTTCAAACAGCACATAGAACACACCTCCTCCTCATGTTAGTTCCCCAGTCGGCAGTTCCACCAGGATGCCATGTTTACATTATATTAAATCACGACCAGTAAGTCAAAACTAGGTAAGATACTATATAGGAAGTGATTTCAGAAACACTTCATTGCTTCAGTCCTGAAATTTAAAAAAAAAATCAGTTCCTGCTATATTTATAGCTATTTTAAAGCTGAAAAAAAAAACCCACATTTCCATCAGCACTCTCACCACAAATAACTAAGTTTTTCTGCTAACCAGGAGACCAGGGAGTGCTTCGGCATCAATGAATAGTGAGGGAGGGAATAGTGCGGCGGGGGGTGGGGATGGGGTGCCATGTTTTCAGCTAAATTCTCTTCATAGAGCTCTGGTCATCCAAATCGGACCCTCAGATAAGGCAATGAAATGCCGGGTACGGGGTGCTACAACTACCATTTTAACTAGTCAAGCAGTATACAAAAGAAATGGAAAAACTATTTTGAAAAGCAAGTTGGTCAATTATTTTTAAAGAAGTTGTACGTGTGAGGCTTGAATTGTCTCAAATTCCTATTTGAAACTTTAATGAACTAGGGATTCACTGCCAAATTGTCTCTCTCAAGGTAGTCAGCATGCAGAGTTAGACTGATATGCATGTTGCCATTAAATTATGGGAAGGGAGTGGAAGCAAGAGTGCACTTACTATTTTATCAAGTATCTCTCTTCAGACTTCCCATTCTGCATATCACAGACACACAGGAGATCCACAGTGCATTGCCGACCAGCTGGTCAGAACATTCCCTTTCTAATACCACCACACTTGTATTCTCTCTCCAGGATGATGGCTACACGTTGGAGAACTCATTTTAATTGATTTTACTTCTAACTCGCTATCTAATAACCTTCACTTGACAGAATCTAACTATGTTAAGGCCGCGGTTCTCCAATGTGGAGGCGGTGGCAGTGCGATTTTGCACTGCAGGGGACATCTGACAAAGTCTGGAGACAGTTTTGGCTGCCACCCTGAGGTGAGGGAGGGATTGCTCCAGGCATCGAGTGGCTAAAGGCCAGGGATGCTGCTAAATGTTCTGCAACGCACAGGACGGCCCCCCACAACAAAGAGTTATCACTCATTCAACGTTACCAGTGCCAAGGCTGAGACCCCGGCTGCAAGACAAGAGGATGGTATGGTATTTTAAAGTAACTTTCAAATTTTTCATCGTATCTTAAGATGAGAATAGCATTTACACAAAATCACATTTTTAAAAACCTAATGCCAATTTCAGTCGCCTCTTAGATCCTGGAACTAGTTGTCTATGCTTCCTGTCGACTGTGAAATATCACAGCAGCGTTGTGACTGAACAAAACCAGCTCCGTATTTTATACCATGGAACATGCTCTAGAATAGTATAAAATTAAGATCATAAATATTTGGAAAGGAACTTAGTCTTGCAATTTAAAAATTCACAGAAAAATGGTCTATTAGGTACGGCAATGTAAAGTAAAGTAAAAAATCCTGGCCTTGTTTTGACACTGGCGTTAGAATTGGGCATTTCCTTTTCCTCTGTTGTTCTTCATCTTAATACTGGACTACCACGGGCCCTGTCTGCAGAAATGTTATACAGAATCAATGCTCGGAACATGGCCTAGAAAATCATTCTAATATTGTATAAGATAACTTTAAAAGATAAATATCCATCGTTATTTTTTAAAAAATAAAGAAGGCAAGTAAACTTTCTGACCTGGGGTCTGAACACCCCTTTTTTACACTTGGCACAGTACATACCAAACTGACCTGTTAAAAATAGAAACTCAAAACGTCCTACTGACGTTTTGATAAAAACATAAACACAAATAGACAATATAAACACTGATATAGAGATGTGTTCTTCTGGTTAGCTCTGATTTTTATGAACACTAGACAGATCCTGAAACATTATAATGTCTAACTACATACCTAATATGTTTTGGAACAGAATTTAACAATGTGTGTGAGACTACATTTGTAGGGCCAGTAATCTGTGTTAGGAGTCCTTTCACTGCATTCCACGGGCAAGTGCTTACTGATTAATAGGCTACAAAAGGAAAAGGGGGCAGCTTTTCCCCCTCAGCACAGGTTCCCCAAGCACCTCCACCCCTGCAGGGTCCCCGGCGCCGGGTGGAGCGCCCGCGCGCGGAGCCAGCATCTACCGTTACCGCGGCCTCGGCCGTCGGGACCCCGGCCCGCCCCGCCCCGCACCCGCTGCAAGCTGCCGGGCACACCTGGGCCGCCCCTGCCAGCCTAGGGGCCGGCCCCTGCCGGCACTCACCCGTCACGCGAATGGACTCCAGCATGGTCCCGCCGACGCTGCGGAAGGTGGGCTCCGCGGGCGCGGGGGTCGAGATCCGGGCGGGCGGCCTCCAGCCTCCGGCCCGGGCCTGAGAAACGAGGGCGCTGGGGAGGGTGCTGTCGGCGACCTGGGGAGGGATAAGGCGTGGAAAGACAGGCGGAGAAGTGCGGACAGAGCACGGTGAGCTTCGCTTGCTCTGGCACGCAGGAGACTAAAGGTGCGCACCGCAGCCCTACAGAGGGTAGCAGCGTTTAGAATCCGCGGCTGTGACGTTGCAGCTCCCCCGTTGCTAGGAAACGCTCCTCGCGTCCGCAGGCGCTGCGCTTCCTAGAGCCGGAGAGCCGCTAGGGGCGCTCGCGCGTCGGGGCCAGGCTCACAGAAAAAGAGAAGCGGGGACTACAACTCCCGGAGTGCACAGCGCCGGGGCAGTCTCCCCGACCTACGCACTTTGACTGATAATCGACTCTCGTTTGTGCGCTGTTCCGGTGGGCTCAACTGGGCAGTACCTTCGCGAGAGAGAGGTGGTGTGGTAGGAAGCTCGGCCCCAGCTGCGAACTGCAAAGCCGGTCTCCGCCGCCGTTTACTTAACTTCGAAGATGCGCAGAAGCCCAAACAACTTGACGTCGAGCTGGTGATGAAGAACGCCTTCATTAGTAGAGGAAGCTCAAGTACATTTACCATTTGAGTACCCCACCATAATATCCTTAATACTAAAATACACATTTTTACTGATGGCTGTGTAACTAATCGGGTTCACCGTTGCTTTTCAGTTGATTATTCCGTGGGAAACGTAGAGAAAAGGAAGTGAAAGCCATCTCAGGAAGCTTCCAGTCTAGAAGGAGCTCACGACACAGCGTTGGTGCTGTCAGGTTCAAAGCCACGTTTTCTCTTTACCCTGCCTCGGGGTTGAGATAGTAATGCAGGAGAGGGGCCCAAGAGCGAACCATCTCGGCTCGGGGCTCGAGTCTTCCCTCCCCAGGCGCTCAGAAATAGCTGGCATGTTCTTTTGAAGTCAGGAACGAAGAAAGCGGGAATTATCTCAGCATACTACACTCTGAGAATGACAGAGAGCATGTGAGAATCTGTATCTTTCATCCATTAGGAGGCAACAGTGGAAATTTAACTATCACAAGTAGTGGATTAGCCCACAACTTATTCTGTCAGAAAAATCTTGGGAATACTGTCTTCAAAATATGTATATTTGGAATCCAGCCACTTCTCATTGTCTCCATTCCGGTTCAACCCAGCCCCATTCTTTGTTTGGATTATAGCTAGAGCCTCCTGCATCAACTATGATTCACCCCATGGCCTTTGCCAGTCGGGATTTGCCCTGCATGGAGCTTTGTTGTGGGGGGCTGGTGGGACAGGAGCCCCTTCACTTCTTTCAGACTTAAGCCAAATGTCACGTCTCTCTCAGTGAGGCCTTTCCTGGCCACTCAGTTTAAAGTGCCACTCCTTGCTCAGATTTCCTGTCCCCTTCTCTGCTTCATTTTTTCCCCCTTAACACTTAACTTCATCTAATTTATTATATATTTTGCTGATTTGTCTTATTGTCCCCTAGAATAAAATCCCTCCAGGTGCAATGATTTTGTGTGTTCACTGCTATATTTTCAGCAACTAGAATACTGCCTGGCACACCGTAGGTACTCAGTAAATTATTTGTAAGTCAACACATAAGTAGACAACTGAAAGGATGCATTTTCAATGATAACTCAGAGAAAATGAAATGATATAAAATGGGTGTGTAAAGAAAAACTCTTCAGGTTAAAGTGCCTGATATAGTAATGAGCAATGAATCCTTTGCATTCATAAGAACAGTTATTCTTGCAACCTGTCCTAAGGAAAAAGGCTGTGAATGTACCTTGCATTCCAAGCTTCTTTATATGCCTCCCTTAGCTTCCTTATACACCTCCAACTCAGAAACCCATTTTCCAAGTTTGCTATAAATGCATCTATTACTCCTGCACATTGCTAGTTTTTAAAGTCAAAGTTTCTCAAAAAAAAAGCAAAGACTCCTAATTTTTTTCTGAGCCATATGTCAGCATCTATATAAAAAATGTACTCTGAATGCTTTTACTAGAGCATGCTTAATCAGACTGTCCATTTTCATTATATTTTGAAGAAACCAAGATGTATTATTTTATTCATTCCTTTTATTTATATACAAAGCACTGGGATTTGTACTTTTAGAGTACATAAAAGACACAATAGTTATTCTCAAGACTAGTAAAGGAAGTTTTATGGTTTTATACACATACACAACGATGTATACCTCCTTCAACATTCATTAAACTCAAGAATTCCAAACATAAACCATCTGATGCCCCTGTCGTTAGCCCACCTAGAATATTATTTCCTTCTTTACTTCAAAATTATTTTTATGTTCACCCTACCAACATTTTCTTGTGGGTCGCTTTGATTTCTACATATCTTTACTGATAAGTATTATATAAAGTTGTATATCCATTTAATGAAAGCATTTTAAAAAGATATTTTTTCCTGTACCATTTGGCAGTGAAGTACTCTTGCTAAAAAAAAATTAGTGAATACAAAGGGTTGATCTAATTTCTTACAAAACTAGTACTGTTATCAACTCCTTTTACCGTTCCCGCCTATGCAATTATTTATCCTCGTCAAGCTCCGTGCATCTGCTCTGTTAATTACTGATTCGTGCTATGCCTGCTTAGTATTTCCATTAGCACAGCAGCTGCAGCTGCCCACTTGGCTGCTTTTGAGTCTGCATTGTGTCTGCCTACTCGCCAGAACAATGAACAATTCCATCTTTCTGAGAAACTTTCCCTTATACCTGTTTCCATATAAACCATTAATACCAAGTCAAAAGAATTAATGCGATGATCTGTTTTCAAAGCACCGATTGCAAAATAAAGTTAAAAACTTATTAAAAATGACTTTCATAAGTGATGTTTAAGGATGCACCTTCTTCCCTCTTCAAAGTTTTTCTAAACTCAAGTTCTGATAATAACCAAGAATACCTTATAGGTATCCTACTGCAACATAGCACTTCCCTTTCCTGGTCAGTTTTAGGTGCACTACCGACACTACACTGCGGATGATTTTGGTTTCTGAATACCTTTAATGATGCTTTCCATTCAGTTTAAATACAAAAATAACGGGAAAATGGTTACTTTGATAGAAATATTATTGTTTTACGTGTGGTTGGGTTTTTATATTATGAATAAACAGCTTAAAGTTTTCTTATTTTATCAGTAACTTTGTTTAGTTAACTCAGGTGTTAATCTGTATATTTCATGTACATGTTGTCATGGCAAACTATCCATAGTCAATGGAGTTTTGGAGTAATACAAATGTGGTCCAAACATCTCCGTAATAAGAGAGGATTTTAATTTATTTTTTTAGAAAAAAAAAGACCAACATCCTCCTTTTGAAAGACTTAGAACACATTTGATCATTTACTGTCAACCGGGGTGGGGGCGGGGTGGGTAAAAAGACCAGGAAAGAGGAAGAGAGCGATGATGAAGGCCGGAGAAGCTGCTGCTGAGCTCGCCAGTGCCGGTGGGGAGACAACCACTGTGAGATTTCACGCCCTACCGCAAAAGTTCAAGTTGCTGAGAACCAATCAAGCACATCATTTGCTGGAAACAGCACAAGTTCAATTTCTTAAGGAGAAGTTAGCTTAGTTACTTAAAAAATTAGAACAGTAAAATACTATTTATTTACTTTTAAATTTCAGCTGAGAATTGAAAAGAATGGGGGGAGGAGAAGCTTCAAGAGAAGACTTTCTTTCCTGTTCTGTTGGAATCAGTTTATAACATTCTACTCCATTGGAAATATATGCATTGAGGCAAGTTTATCCGGAGCCTGCTGCTACACAAGAACAGACTCTAGTTGCCACCCTCAGGCTCTCATTAACAGGAGCCTTGGGCAAGTTGGCAACAATGTTCCTTCACTTAGATAAAAATCCAGGGAACAGTTGGTTTTGAGGCTTTAAAAAAAAATTGTCCTTGAAGCTGGAGGGCTTTCAGGGTGTCTGTACTGAGAATGGAAGTTTTCAGTGTGTCTTTTCCAGGAGGATGAAAGCATTAAGAGGAAGCCCAGTAAGAGAATGCTTTCTGAGACCACCTCCGCCTTTGTGCACTTTGGTCAGAACGGCACAAAAATCCTGGGACACGCTGATATTTTTTATTTTGTTTATTTATTTATTGGAGAGAGGGGAAGGGAGAGAGAAAGAAGGGGAGAGAAATGTGAATTGAATTGGTTGCCTCTCATCCTCGCCCCGCCCAGGGGCTGAACTGCGACCCAGACATGTGCACTGACCGGGAATCAGCTGGCGACCTTTTGCTTTGCAGGACAATGCCCAAGTGACTAAGCCACAGCAGTCAGGGCGACACTGATCTTTAAAAAATAGGACATTTTGTTGTAAATGATTGGAAGTGGACAGGTATTTTTGAATCAGACAAAAACTAAACTACTACCCATCTTCATAATATTTGGAAGAAAACAAGACGCACATCAATTACCCCACAGATATTTGTTCAGTGCCTACTACGTGCAAGACAAACCATGATGACAAAGGCACAGCCCTGTGCTCGGGAGCTACCGATGGTGCACGCACACCTGTGCGGACGTGAGGGACGTGCACAGGACCAGTGCTTGGCACACGGCAGGGGTGCCCCGGTGAGTAAGTCCGATGGTCCTTCTGGAATGTACGTGATGGTGGGAGACGCAGACAGAAACCCGCTGAACAGGTGATGTAACTGCAGATACAGACAAGTGCGACGAAGTGCAGTACCTCAGGGCACTATGCCAGGTGGAGACCTGGGTAAGACGGGGTCAGGAAGGGCCTCTCTGAGGACCAGTCACTTTTGAGCTGAGTGTTGAAGGGTAAGCGTCAGCCCCAGGCGATTCGGGGGCAAAAGCATCGTGGGTCTCGGGAACTGCACAGCCGAAGCCCTGCGAGGGGAACGGTCTTGCCGTGCCCCTGGGGCTGACCCTTGAAGGCCAGCACTGGAGTCCAGAGCGCTGGGGAAAAGAGGCAGGAGAGAGGTCTCGGAGGCAGGCAGGGGCCAGAGTAAGGAGTTTGGATTTCAGTCTAAGAGCCACCAGAGCCACTGGTGGATTTTAAACAGGGCAGTGACATAACATGGCTTTATTATTTTTTTTTTTAAGGTTGCATTGGCTGCTCTGAGGACAATGCATAAGAGGGTGGAGTGGCATCAGGGAAACCAGACAGGAGATGGTTGCAGTGGGCCACGGGATGATGG